CACCTACAAAGTCTGATTCCAACGGTCGGTCATCCACACAAGAACGCAGGTGGCATCCCTTTTTTGTAAGCGCCCCGGTTTGTTCTCTGCTTGGATGCTAATTCAGACAACAGCGAGCAGACAGTAATAGCGTGCTTCGTACACATCAAGAGCATTGGAGCATGTCAGATGGTATTGCACGCAAGCACTGCAGCAAACAAATCAGAAGAGTCCGTGAGACCGAGCGCATGGCTTCGACCTGTGACGCTAGCGCATCTCGACTGCCAAATGTGTACTTCGAATCTCCTGCGAGCAGGGCGCAACATTGCTGCCGATATGCTCTTCAGTGCTCGCACAAGCTCCACGTATTCTCATATTCGTAGTCCTGCTCTTCGGCGCGTGCGGAGCGTTGCGCCATCAGAGCCAGCCGATGTTGCATGGCTTCAGAACGGGTCATAGGCAGATTGCAAGGCCGTGGTGGCCGAAAACGCTCTCCCTCGGAATCATCGTCCAATGACTCCTGTGGTGCTTGTCTGAGGCAGTAAGCTTTGCGCTCCTCGAAGCGATCGGCATTGCGATCGAGTGGTAGCCATTCGTTCGCCTCGCATGCCGAATCTATCTCCCTGAAGATCTGGGTTTGTACTGATGGAATGAGCGGAGACATTGATTCTTGTGAGATGCTTTTCACAGGATGTAATGCACCTTGAGACTTGCCTTCGACCGGCAACGCCGCCATGTGTGTGTCCTTGTGCTCCCCAAGGCTATCGAGCAGCCAGTCGAGCTGTTGAGGTCGAACCTCCGCGGTGGATGGGACGCGTTCGAATGGGTCAACAAGAAACATCACTAGGAATCTTCTATGCCCTCTTTTTGTCTTGTCTGAAAGCTCAAACGGCGAGAGTCTGTGTTGCCAGCAGTTGGGAAAGCAGATGCCGCGGCCTTCCGAGGTTGAGATGCAACCCAGGTGCTGGTTTTGACCTGACGTCTCGTTGTCAAACCCGTACACAGCTTCGAGCTGAAGGCGAGTAAGATTTATGATGTTAGCAAATTGCTAGGTGCTCGAGCCAGGAACATCTCACATGGTCATATAAGTCCTGTTGGTAATGGCATACGTCGTCTGGACCGGCGTACTGCCGGAATTCCAGCGTTGGCGTCGTGACGTTTTCGTTTTCAAGGTAGTAAATGCCGGTACCGCAGATTTTCTCTCTTGGTGTTCCTTCCAGGTGCCAGGAGCCACCTTCATACTTTGGTTTATCCGGCGTGAGCTCCACGCTTGCTATCTTAAATATGATTTGGAGCGTGCGCCCGGCAAGCGACACAGGGACATCGGGAATGGGCTCCTTCCAAGTAGCAACTTCAGGTCTCACGAACTTTCGCGTCTTTTTCCATCGCAGCCGACGCTCCTGATTCTGGGCCCAAGCTTCATCGTCGTGGGATGAGGGCTCTGCCGGCCCCGAGGGAGGCGTAGTGCCATTCTGCTTGGCTTCGAGCTCCAACATCGCTTCGATCGTCTTGGGCTCCCAAAAGTCCTCGCGCTCCGGCTGTAACACTCCTGGCAGAAAAGCGTCACAGGCCCAGCGGCCATCGAGACGATCGCAAGAGTTGCGCAATAAGGAGGCGACGACGGCCTCAAAAAGGGGGACAAAGGCAGCCACAGCTTTTTCCAAAGTCGCATACACGCTGGCATGACGTTGAGGATGCAGATTGTTGATGTACGAGAGAATTTTTGCTGTCTGATGGTCGCGCACGCTCGTGATCAGGACTTCCGCGGGAAGCCACTGGTAATTTTGCTCCCCTTCATGGTGCCAGACATTCTTGGGCTTGGTGACTGGCAGAGTCAAGTCAGCGACAATCAGCTCCCCGTCATCTTTGCCGATCTCCGCCAAATCTCGCAAAGGGCTCAATTGATCCACGCCATCTCTACCTGTCTCAAACAGCGTCGCAGCTCTTTTAAGCATCTCAAGGGCTCCGGGCGTCTCTCTTTCCAGCTTTGTCGCTTTTACATAGGAGCGTTGATCTACGAGCGGGAACAGGGAAGGATGAATGATGTCAAGCACCTGATCGTTGGACTGGAGAGAGGGAGCATATGGATCAGCCTGGGCAAATAGGATCGGCGCACAACATCGCACGCACCCCTGGGTGCCAGTCTCGTTCCTTTCTTTCGTCGCCCGATTCGATGAGATGCTGAACCTGGATGCATAGTTCTGTTCTCAGGTCGGAACCACCAGGCTGTTCAAGTCGCCACACCGCAGGAACGCCTGCGGCTTCTGGTTTGCCCCTTTGGGCTACCTTTGCCAGCCACTGGACGTGGGCAATGACATAGTCTATCATCCTCCCTATGGAGGAGGGTCTGATTCAGCAGACGGGTCATGTTCCCTGCGATCAACCTCGCTCACCCGAATAATCGTCCGCGGCCATCTCTTGCCTCCACTTGTCAGTGATCTTGGTCTCGAATACCTTTTGAGACCAGCCCGGCTTCTCCAGAATACCTCCTACAGTGGCCAGCATCGTAAGCTCGTCCGCTGTTCGAAGACCTCCGCAGAATGGGTCTGTCGCTGACATCTCCACTCCCTGCATTGTGGTATAGTCGGGATCAAAAGCGCAAAATGCCTTGTAGACGAGCGATGCAGCAGCATCCGCGGCATTCTTGGCGAAAGACTGCTCCTTCTGTGGAAGAAACAAGCATCAGCTGTCTTGCACCAGATCGCCAATCAGAGGCCTCCTTCTGCACTGCACCTACTAGCCAAGCCTTGCACCACGTGTAGCTCTTCACCTCTTCAAGGGTGCGTTGTCGAAACGCCAGACACAGCTCGACATACTCTGTGTACGCTTTGCCTCTAAGCTGGTTGTCCAGCGTCAGGAGGAAGCGCTGCTGCTCTACGTGCCAGGCTCTAGACAAGGCGATGCGTCCGTCGATGTCCAGCACCACCTTGGGAACAGTGGTGTCCACATCACGTTTGAATCGAGCCGACAGGCCGCTGTCTGGATTGGTGACTTGCCTTTCCTCAACTGGGGCTAGCTTGTCACTGACCCATTCAGCAGCCTTTTGCGACAGTCTGGAGGCGATTTTATCGATGCAGTCCCGCGCATCTTGCGGCTGTATGGTGTAACATCGTTAGCGCGGGAACGATCATTGCAACCCTCGGCAGCACCTTCCCAATCGCAGTCGCGATTTTCAACTGAGCGTTGTGGACTCACCGAGAGCTGATCGCAAAGCATCCTCAGCGCGAGCTCATCGGGGCATAGAAAAGG